TCGATTCAAACAACAAAAGTATGGAACTTTGTATTAATTTATCTTCAATAGTAAGCAGTTTACTCGGCAGAGCGCGCTATCGATGTGTTAAGTAAAGATAATCAAATATGGAACTTTTTAATAAAGTCGTACAATCTGCAGAGCGCGCTATCGATGTGTTAAGCTCGGTATGCGGGCCACATCTGTCGCTTGGATCTGCTTTAAGCTTCTTCAACAGTTTCGGTATTTTCAAACGACGATGTGATTTCTGCAGTTGGCAGTGCTGATTCTTTGAGTGCCCTCTGTTGATGGTTCCGACTAGTATTCCTTGGATCGCCCTCTATTGGTGGTTCGGCATAACAGTGGTCCGTAGCACGTATATTCCTAACACGGCCATCCTGACATTCGTCACGCTCTCGGGACGATTCAAATTCTCGATCTCNAAAATTTTAAAATTATGTACGAGTAGCGAGGGGTGGGGTAGGTGTCTACATTTTTTCCTGCATGAGCTGGGGGTCGACTTTCATTTTTTTTATGTGATCGCGCCGCCCCATTACTGTGTCGCCTTGCATTATAGCACCATACGACCTAGCAGAAAGACCAATGGTCAATATCCCAAATTGCAGTACTTGTATTATATATTTATTACTGTATTTTTTTTTAAATAATAGTGTTTATTGCATCAGTCGTACAAAAAAAACATACAGAAATAAAAAGAACAAAATAAATATAATATATTTATTACTGTATTTTTTTTTAAATAATAGTGTTTATTGCATCAGTCGTACAAAAAAAACATACAGAAATAAAAAGAACAAAATAAATATATATAATTTCAAAAAAGTCAACTGATACAAACGGCTATTGACCATAGGTCTTTCTGCACTTTTTTTTAAATTTTATAATTTATTGTTGCAATATTATTATTAGAAAAAAATAATATTTAGAAGTTAAAATTGAAGAACCTAAAACACAAAATACATTTGTCATTTGGAAAACAATATAAACAGAAATAATATTTTGAAATAATTCTTTTTAGTTGAACATTTTCTTTCATATTACATATTTGTGGACTATTATTAAATTTCAGTTTTCGTTAAATTGTTGTGGCCAACCACTTTATTATTAATTATTGATATATAACTACTATGTATATTCTTTATCTATGTAAGTACAGTCTTATGGAAAGCCCCTCGGAAACCAAACAAGCCTATCGGCACTTGAAACATCCGCTTAGAGTAATAAATACATTTTAGAGAAACGATCTGTTTCTCATATTTTGTTAGTTTTACGACCCGCTTGAAAGGTGCACTATGTGAAAATCGGGCAGCTAACTATAAAAACTATGCCGTCCAAAATTAACCTCCCCAAACAATTGTAAGATTTATCACCCCTTAGACCTTATCGACAGCGGGAGACTTACCAAACGAAAATTGTAATATGTATATCTTAAAAATATAAAGCAAATGAATATCTAATATGTAGAAGTGTATTTCACATTTACAATTTTAATAATAAGCTGTTTAAAAAAAATCATAATTGTTTATGTAAAGCTATACTATTTAAAAGTTCTTTAGACTCCTCTACGATGTCGGTACTGTTAAAAATACTTCCAAGTCGCATAGCTTCTTCTGCCGCTTTTTGTGCTTGATCAAATACTTCTAATTTCAAATAAATTTTCGCCAATTTTATATAACATCGAGGTAAATCCATGCTTCCAATTCCTTTTCCTAGCATAACTGCATTTTGCATGTTAATTAAAGCTATGTCGTATTGCTCCAATTCTAAATTTAAGTCTGCCAATGTATACAGAATAACCATTTCCTGATATGAGCTAAGTCCTTTTATTTTATTGGAATAGTCGTAGGCAGTGTCTAGGAGGATTTTAGCACTTTCGTAATTATAATTTCGAATCTTGTGGATGCCGTACCAAAAGAGGATATTTACGTAAAGCATTCCAGTCTTGGTACTCACATCTCCATTCAATATTTTAGACTTTTGTGCTTCTAAACACGTTTTAAACCCAATTTCTGCCAGGTCGTATTCTCTGTAGGTGCTGTAAATTCGGGACAGACGCAATTTAAAATCTATAAAAATAATTTCAATTATTAAATATAAATCAACTGGTAGAAACCACATACCTATTATATGATAACTATCTTCAGAGGTCTCATTCTGTATCATCTTCTCGATAACATTAATCAGAAGGTCTTCTGCCTTTTTAATATCTCCCTCTGTAAGTGCAATAGTTGCCAATATATCATACATATACGGTATACCAAAAAAAATATTATTTTCTTCACATATTTTCAAACCCATTTGCAATATGGCCTCAGCCCTTTCCTTGTCACCTTTCTCCAGTGCTACTTTAGCAAGTATGATCAAGTGTGTAATGTTATCTTCTATGTCTGTAATCTCATCACTAGTATTGTATATGTTATTTTTGTTTACAATTGATACCGAAGGAATGAAGAATGGCATTATGATTTGTCGAGGTATTTTTGTATATCTGGAATATTTCGTCACCTCTTTAAATATATACCAACTTGGTAACCTGAACTTTAAGAGATTGCATATTTTTTTAATAAAATACATGTAAATTTACTAGAATTTCGCACATCACAATTCTTGTCATTATGACATATGATCAGTTATTCTAAAATTATCATTTGAAATAGATTCCTATGATCACATTATTTTATACATTTTTTTATTACAATAACTGTATCCCAGCATTGAATTTTTTATTTAATATGAGTATCTAACTCATAGACTTCATATACTACAATAGCCAATGTTGTATGAGGTGCTCTTATTTAAAACTAAATATATATCTTGATCAGATACAAATATACAAATTAGGATACTTTTTTTTGTTAATTATTTACCTTGATTAAATTGAGTATGGGTTCTACAAAACCGACTTTTTTAAAAACCGTTGAGATTCCAATCTCAACTCGAATTTTCACAAAAAAAATAAAAAGAAATGATTTTTATTATTATTTAATATATACAAAATAAAATATTACATAAAAAACTTACAATATTACATAAAACTATAACTGTATAAATCTCCAAAAATATTATTATACCGTATTGTATATTTATTTTACAATCTATTCATGTGAACATTAAGTAAATCTTATGGTGGCTAAATTTGTTTTTGGTAAACTTTCCAATGGAAGTTTTTATCATTATTTTCTTCTTTTTTAATTTATTGTTTGGTTGACGTCTTGTAGATTAACTTCAGTAGTGTATTGATGCTCTGCGATTCCAATAATCCCTTTGTCTATAACACTGTCCATCGATTTGGCTAGAGGTCCATTGCTGAACCTCATTTATGTGACTGTACATTCATGATGAACGATGGCCCTATTGCTGCAAGGACCTAGGGAGCTCACAAAGGACCTGGAATGGCCGGAACCATTCGACTATCCGTCACTCTATTCAGAAAATATGGTTTTAAAAAGGAAAAAATGTGTACAGATCTATTGTATAAGTAACTTAATATGGATTATGTTTCGATAGCAAACTATGGGTTGATTAATGAACAAACCAGAGTAATCGGTTGTTCAGGAGGGTGTTATTTATAACAAAGAATTCTCAAGTTCTCTCTCGATTAAATATATTTTAAGTCTAGTCTCACGAACCGGTATTTAAGTAGGAAACATCCGGTTTTCGAATTATATTAATTTCTTGAAAAAAAAAAAAAAAACAAAACTGATAAGGCAGAAACACGGATTTGGCAGATTTTTAGCTGATAGCTATAAACCAATAGCACTCATATCTACAGAAGAAGTCGCAGCGCAAACGACACTAGTTGTCCTCTCTCCAAAATGTACAAAATTTAATATTTTTTCTGATATCATATTGTAGCTGTTCTCTTTTAGTACTGTGAGGGCTCACTTTAGTCCGTCGCAGGGAAATTCCAGGAAGGATTTTAACAAAAATATTGAATGTATAGATGATATCCGTTCAACATTAATACAACATACATGCCAGAAGTTTTATCGCATGCGGAAGTAGAGTTCTAATTAGATTCAGACGGATTCTAGAAAAATGAACATAAAGAGTGCACTTTAAATCATTCTAGTTACAAATGCGACATGTAAATCCAGTTTTAACGGAAAAAGTCCTGAAATACATCTTGTCTTTTCCAATTTCCACGATTATGATATATAACTCACTGGATATAGTTTTTCTTAATGTTAAATATAAGTTCTAAATGTAGTTTATACTTACTAAAACTTAACTAAAATGAAACTTAAACGAACAAAAGCGGATCGAATGCAAATTAGTATTTTATCAAAAGTGCGAAAAATAAATAGTATTAAAGTAAATACATTTTATCTAATATACTCATAGATAAGCTGGAGTTAAAGCGAAAAACCTTATAATGAATCAATTATTTGATACAAACCCATACAAATTCAATTGGATCTATTGTAATATTTTATAAAATAATATAGTTTTTAGTTCATAAAGCATTTTATTCTTTTTATTTCCTATAAAAATGTTTCAAATTTCATCCATGACAATATACTTTAATTTACTTTATTATTTTTTTTATTTATGTACTATAAACGGAAAAAATAAATATATTGTTACTAAAGTATATTCATTTTTTTTAACGACGGGTACTCAGATATCGAAAAATTGGGAAACACTGCTCTAGCATATAGATCTGCTCCGATTTCAAATGTGTCTCTTATTGACACAAGCAGAAAGGAGTTACTTTTTAATATAAATTTTAGTTCGCACGTATGAGTATACAGCCGTTACAGTTCCATTGTATTATGTTTTCCGTGGTTCTGTTAAAATATAAACGATAAAATGAAATAACTTAGACAAACTTGAAAATAAAGGTGGTCCAATAAATATTATTGAATAAAAACATAATAAAGTACAATAAAATCATTTTTTTAACGTTCTTTTTATTTAGAATATATTTTATAATAAAAACATTCAATGAATGATCTAGCGAATGAAAAAATAAATTGGACATAGTTCGTTGGCGATTATCTTTCATTTATTGATTATTTATTAAATCTCAAAGGTAGATCCATCAAGAAGATTGACACATAATACCTGTCTAACTTATTTTGCTATCGGATACTGTTTTTCATAATTGATTCTTCCACTGTTTCCATTTGAAGATCCTCATGAATTCTCCTATTCGCAATATTCACTTTATGGTATATTACTTCAATGATCCTTCTTAGGCTCTTTGACAGGAATCTTTCTATGGTTGAAATATTAGACATATTGCTGACTCCCTACAACTGTATTCTGTAGGTCCAGATAGGTTTTAAAATTACTTTATAAATCAGCAGCATGTTTCCTTTCGTGTAAGTCCTCTCGTAATAGCAAGTAGAGATTCCTGAACTTAATTTTGAGTTGTTCTCTTTTAGCTTGGATGTAATCTTTCCAGGTCAATCTTCTATCTAAATGCATACTCATATTTAATTTTATTAGCCGCTCGTAATATTTAAGAGTCATTGGTAATATGGTATAATCTTCTTTAATTTAATATTCTTTCCTGGTGTAAACCAGGTTTAGGTATTAAAATAATTTGAGCTATTTACCATAGAGGGAAAGTGTTCTGTCGATCTTAGCTTTATAGTTTTACATAGTTTACATTTCTTTAGAATTGATAATATTCTGCAGGGTTGCAATTATTGCGTTTACTAAAAAGAGTCTTAATAAATATTCACTAGGGCAGGGATTCCCAAAGTTTTCCTGCAACGGAAATTCTCAAATTTAAACGGAACACGCTTTTTTTTGTAGGATAGGTAATGAAAAATAATCAATAAAATTAAAAAATGAGAAAACAGTAATTATTTCATTTCAGGTTTTCACAGAACACCAAACTATGTTTCGCGGAACACTGGTTTTCAGTATTCTCATTGTTAATATTCCTAATAATCCCGAAATATAAAATGTGAATCTCATGGAGTTAGGAATATAAAAATCAAGGCATTTAACAAGCGGAAAAAGGTAGGAACGTAACGTGCAACGTAACATGGGGAGACGAGGGGGATACGCGATGATAGGGAACAAAGAGTTTGGTCTTGGTTGGATTTATTTTAAGGCGCCATTTTTTAAAATAAAATGGTTGAGGATAAGGTTTTGGAGATAAAGAATTGGAGATTGAAGGAAAGAGGCGTGGGAAACCAATGTAATGTTATCAGTGTATTAGAGGATATAAAGGTTGGGAATGAAGGTATTAGGATCGGGGCTATACAGATCACAACAAAAAAGGTTATATAACATAGGAACAGATGCGAACCTTGCGGGACACGCTGAAACGGGGAAAAGGAACATCGGTAACCGGAAGAGAGAGAAAGGTCAATATCACTTTTGGGGATACAAACAATTATTCCAGACTTCCACTCGCAAGGGATATATTGACGGACAAGACAGAAGTTAAAGATTTTAATAATAAAGGAGTGGACATCTGGATCAGGGGCAGGAATTCGTGATTGTATAAGGGACTCAGGAGGGACATGAAAAATATTGAAAAAAAAGATTGGAACCAATTATTAATATGTACAAGATTATTATGTTCAAATGTATAGTCCTTGTCAAATTCAAACTGTTTTTTAAAGTGTTGCGCAAAGATATTGCAAATGCTGTAATGGTCTGAGTGAGTGATGTTTGTATTGGTGTCAGTTAATTTGCCCCCAATATCCTTCGACTCTTCAATTATGGAACAAGCATTTAATCATTTTTCTTGTTTAGATTCGCGACCTAAATTTGGATGGATTTTTTAGTTCGTTGAAAATAATTTTTAAATTTCAATCCTCAATTTTCTTTATTTGTCTCTAGAGTTGTCGTTTCTTATATAAATTTGGTAATAATATAAAAGGATTCTGAAATTGCATACAGGTGCCTATATAGGGTAATAAGATGTCATCAAAAATTGGTTTGTAATTTTACTGCAACAATAAAATTATGACATCACTCCACCATCGAGCAGATCCATCGCGTGACGAACGATATAGGACGATCCATGGAGGAAAAACAGTACTGCTCGGCTGTGTTTCTCGACATCACACAGGTCTTCGACAAAGTGTGGCATGCGGGTCAAGAGCACGCTGCTTCATATCTATTACTACATATTAAAGTCATTTTAATGTGATAGATTCTTCCAAGTGAATATGGAGGGTGAGGTAACTCAGATAAATCCAATCGAATCGGGCGTGCCACAGGGAACTATCTTGGGACCGGTGATGTATAACCTATTTACATAGGACCTGCCGACATCCCAGGAAACCACTATAGCTACCTACGCCGATGACGTCGCGATCCTGTCGTCCAATGGGGATCCGGTTATTGCTGTGCGTGGACTCCAGAGTCATCTCGACACGTACCAGGGGTGGCTCAGGAAGTGGGGGATCAAAGTTAACGAAACCAAATCCAGCCATGTCACCTTCACCCTCAAAAAGGGAACCTGCCCCCCGGTCACACTGAACAACAAA